ATATTCCTTTATTCCGCTATTCGTTTCCCCAGCGATGTCAGTCAATTCATTCATCGCATTTACCAATTATTGAAGCGCATCGTGAAAGAGTAATGTAACGGTGGTAGGAAAATCTGGATGCTAGAAGACGACCTGTCCCAAGTTAACCTTATAAAAACCCGTATGTAAAATAGTCAGGTATTATTTTATCTCACGAGATTTCCCGGTCTATGTAAGTTATCCGTTCACGCCAGAGAAATGCGATGTTACCCCATGCTCAATACGTAGATTTGTCGTTGCATGTATTCCACCTCATTAGCTGCATTTCCCATTCCCCCATCATTCAAAAGACAGACTTAACTGTGCTCGTAAGCTCTTCGAAATTCCTATCAAGACAAAATGGTATTCCCCATTAATGTTCCCGATCATTTTATTGTTCACAAATGTTTCGATACATACTGCCAGTTTACCAAACGTAACGTGGCTATTATAGACCACTGTCTACACTACGGAATCTTTAAAGCTTTCTTGTATTCCCGCGCCCGTCCGCAAATCAAGATTATCCCCCAAACCCGGACATCCGCTTGTTATAACAGGATTATTCTTTATTTAGTGCACATCTTGGAGAACCGCATTGGCAACGGATCAGCCTGCTCTACCCGCTAGCCTTACCATTTTATTTTTGTTCTCCAAATAGCTTCACCGTGATTTGTGAATCAACCATCAACCAAGGTGAATAAAGCATTTCTTGACTTGAATATCATTGATTATAATTTCCGCTTTTTATTTGATTCTTTTTCATTAAATGTACAACTGTTCGAAAATCAAATTCATAGTTTAATTATCGCTTCACTAATTGTATCAGGAAAAATTGAGATGTGGAAAGCGCTGAATCAAAGGTCTGCTATGTGTCAAATGAACTAGAGCCAAAAGAAGAAGCAGTAGTGGGGTTTGAACGCACGGTCTATGGAGCGCGATAATTAGGTGACCTTGACCTCTGGACCACCAACTGGATGAGGTCAAAGCGAAGAAGAAAAAAGCAATATTCGAATGCAATTGATTTATTTATTTGTGATATTTTTACATGTGAAAAAGGTAGTTTTTTATGAAAACCTGTATTGTTGAGGGGCAGGAAGAGCACGCGTCATTGGATGTAAGATTTGTTTTCACCAGTTTTCAGAGTTGATCGATAAATTAACCTGACTAGACCGATGCGACTACAATCAACTATCGAAATAAATTACTTGAGAAAATTCTATTTTGTACACATTATCAACCAATGAGATTATAGCTCTATCTAAAATACAAGAACACTTTACCATTCACTCCGATAAATTACTTTACTTCTTTCTTGATATAGCTTAACTTAGGAAGAAAATGCCTTATTGTTCGGATGTAAAAGTTCATTGAATGGGTTATAGGCACTACAGACTAGGCGAATCCAACGGGAGAAACAGCGTCAGTATGAAGACCGAAAGGGCATATTAGGTGAATTGAACTGAAGTGCGTGGATGTGTGATAAACACGAAACTTCGCATCACCGTCATCATCATCATCATCAACAACAACAACAATAGCAGCAGCGGCAGCAGCAGCATAAACGTGAGTTAGAAAATGAAAAACACTCCTCTAATGATCAGAAATGGGAACTCACAGTTTAAGGGATTAGTTGCTTGGATAATAACAAAATAATGAAAGCAACTGACATAGAAAACGAAGGTCGAACGCCAGCATCTGCATGTAGAAAAAGGGAGAAAGTTGTTTTGGTAAACGAGGCAGGTTTCTACAGGTGAACAGAAAACTGGCTGAATGCAAACTTCGACACTGGCTTAGTAATTACTGAACTATGCTGAATGAGCTAAAGTAATCGAAAATTTTGGCACACAAATTTATTGCGTAAAGTGACACCATAACAAACTTAAAAAATCTTTGTAACAGAATTTGAATGAATTATTTACTTGAAACAAATTTACATAATCGCTCTCAATGGCCAAGTTATCAGGATTCTAAACGAAACTCCCAGGGCGCACAGTTTTCTTTCCAACGCACTTTATGACCTTTTTCGACAGCTTTTGTCTACCTAAAAGGTGAACCGAATATGGTAAAGGTTCGCCGCTGGAAAGAATAGATAGTGTCATTTGTGGATTCGGAACATTGTACTTTTGAGGGACCGCGAGAAAAATTATTGACTGTTAAAATTGAGCTCACATTTGCGATCAGGCGGAGAACTGCTCATTCAATATGTATTACGAGTAGTTACTCGGCGATGTAATTAATCAGTGCTATTCACGCTCGGACGTCTCGTTTTAAACTGTGGAAAATATTCCAAATAAATTTCAAATTGTCGTAGCTACTGTCAAATATTTTGTTATACAGTGAACCAGTAGTTTCCTCAGAGAAACCTAAAAAGATCATTTTCTGTGGAAGTTTAAGTTGTCTATCGCTGACCCACAGAAGAATTTTGGTTACAACAGTTCATTTCGCTTCGGTGACCCACATAAGCTTTGGAATTCATGTATGAGACCGCGTGACAAAACAGAAAAATGGTTTCAGGGCTTGCAACATGCCAAGACAACTTGGTTTCCTGCCAGAGCCGAGGTGAGTTTACCAGCCTGTTGACAGTTGAAGAAGCGAGTCAAGTGTTTCTAAGGTCGAAATACAATTGACTTTGGTGTGTTGATTTGATGTGACGTGGTAGTATGCACAGCGGTTGGAGAGTGTAGCCAATAATTGCGGGCCACAGTAATAGCTTATGGTATAATACGCCACTGCTGATTTTTTTTAGGTTCATCTAACGAGAGGGTAGAGCAATCGTGTGGGCATGTATTTACGGTTCGTTCTAGCATCATAATGCACTCTTTGGAATTATGACTATCTGTTTTTCGCGTAATTGGGAAGCTTCACTTTATGCTACAGTGATGGAGGATGGGTTACTCACCTCTCTTTTGGAGTTGTACTGGTGGTGTGAAACGTATTCCGTTGTCCATCCCTTCAACTTCACGTTTCACTGTAGCCAAGTTCACATCGATTTCCTCATTGAAACCGATCACGAATCTAGCCGAAATTCCCGGTGGTACGGAGTTCGTCTTCTCCGCTGTCTCCAGACGACAGGTTTCAATGCTTGAAGCATATTCCTTCAGAGATTGTTTGATCTGACAGCCAGCACAAAAGAGACATGAAAGCAAAACAGAATGCATACTTGAGAGAAATCGGTTTTGCTCGCACAGTTCGGGATTTGTTTATCGATTTTGACCGGAAATGCAATTGCAGTTAGTGAAACTTTCATATTATTCATACGAAACCGCATCGGAAGTTTTCTTTTGAGCAAATTATCCGGACAATCTCAAAAGAAATACCCAAGGGAACTGAAACAGCGAGGTTATGGATTGCAAACTCCTAGGTTTTACGTAGTGCTGTTAGTGATGGACGCACTGTATTCGTTGCACAAATGCGCATTTCATTCCTCGCTATGTTGATGTGGTTTAACACATTAGGAGGCTGTGGAGATTAACAGTTAACTTTAGCATCCATCACGCTACGGTACACACCTCAATCCATATGGAGGCAGCATACTGTGGACAGAAATGCAAGCATGTTTTGCTAGTTATGCAGACGCACATATGGGAATCCAATGAGCTTTCGTTTGCCACCAGGCAGCACAACAAATGCTCCGCTTGTCTTATTCAGTCTGCTTAAACGGAAGAATTTTTCTTACATAGATATATTACACATTTTGATGGATCACTTTATATGAGAACTGTATTGCAACTCTGTGCGGAGTAATCATTCAATGAACACTGTTTGTTATTCATCACTAAGTCAAACGTTATTTACGACTCTTTGACCACGATGCAACTGGTTTTGCAAATCGGGAAAACAATAAGCGAATGATCGGATACTAAAGAGCCGTTGTAAGCGCTTGATAAACTAAATTTCCCGGAATATTTAACGTGGAACTTTATCAAATTTCATCTTTCCTTCGACATGAGGTGCTAACCGAGCTTCTTTGTCAAACAGCACGACAGTTCTGCAGATCATTTCAGATGCAAGGTCTCATGGGAAGGGTTATGTGCAAAATTATCGCTTAAACAGAAAAGGTTTATAAATAAATGTATCGTTTAACTAATCAATAGTACAAAAAGTCAGCCTCAATCAAATGTATTGAACTTGAGTGGTGATGAACGAGTAATAGCTTATCGGTGTCTTGTTTTCATTCAGTCATTAGGCGATTGACAAACTCTCATAAATGTAACCACCGGTAAGGGACACAATGAATAAAAGGTGTTGAAACTGATGCATATTACCTGCCCAACCACACATGTGCCATTAACTACAGATATCACTGGAAGCGATACAGTTCGAACTCGCTGCAAGTCCTAGATGTTTTACCAGCTGAGTGCTGTGAGTGAACAAAACATACCCCTGTCAAGCACACACACACAAAAGCCGTATTCGCACATGGATTTCGAGAGAGGTAGTTTGTGAATGAACTACTACCAAATCGAATTCCTTTTTGGTAAGCGATTCATACCGGAACAAATGCAATGGGTCCTTCATTCCGAACAAAAGCAATGCTACTTACCTAAGTTATCGTCAGAACTAAGCACCTATCAGCTATTTTACGTACAGACTAGAACTGAATTGGGTGATATAGTAGTCACAATGCGAATTCCACGCTGATGACAATCACTCACATTTTGGCACATTGTTTTTTCTAAATCGTTGAACTCCTTGCTGTTCTTGTCCTTCAAGTGACCATTCCACAAAATTGGACCATCGTTACCGACGAGAGTCCCGTTGAGCTCAATAACTTGACATACAATGGAAAAAGACAGAGAAAGAAAAGATGGTAACAGTATTCGTAGTGTTTAGACAAGGTAGAGTTAGAAAATGATCTATCTTAAGTGATTCATAGGAAGCCAGTTAGCTAATAGTGACCTTGTGAACATTTTTCTTGGACGCGGTGATAACTAAATTTCGTCGGAAATGTTTAAAGCGGGTGATCAATGAAAGCTTGCATTGGTGGATGTAGAAAATTCCCGAGGTAATGACATAGCTAAGCAGGAACTAAATATTTGTTAAATGCGGCTCTGCAAACTTACGTTGGGTCAATACGAAATCTAAAATGCAATGAGATATCAAAACAGTGATCAGTATTGGCAACAAGGCAACGTGACGTTTTACCGAAAAGTTATCTACTTCCTCTAACGCTATGAACCCCAGGCTGGTGGGTATTCGTCAGTCTTCCGTACGCGCAGCTTCCCCAGTACTCACCATTCACATCAACAGAAATCGAATTGATTGCGATTGCACAGATCACAAACTAAGGAAAGAGATCGCCATGCACTGCCATTGCCCATCAGTCGTCAGATTTTCGTCTGTTGTTTGGTTAGGCTAATATGTTCAGTAGAAACAACTCCGGCAAGTCATAAGTTCACTATCATCTAAACAAATACTCTTACAAAACATGAATTCACCATCATTGCCGGTGACTTTGTGAGAGACAAATTGTCTAAGTGAAATATCGTTCTTTTGTCAAAAATCAGTATTCCTGACAAATGGATATTTAACCGCAATGAATACCCTGTTCACTTAGTAGATTCAAATTGCTCAATCATGTACAGAACAATAATAATTATGGAGCGGAGCTTGTCAAGAGCAAAGTTCTTGTGCCAGGATTTGTGCCATATATAACATATAGGGAAGAAAACAAACAGAACGGTAAACTTCGGTAAAGGACTATTTTGGTTCGATATGAATGCTCGGAGCATGTTACTCTGCTGTGCACGGCTACGGCCTGTTTACCGGCAGTTTAAGGTGTGTGCGATTGTGGGGCTAAATAAAAGAACATTTTACTATTCCAGGGGGAAAGTTCTATCAACTGATTAGATGTGCTTAACATTTAATGGGTACCAGTGAACACCCATGTTATAGGAATAGTTATGCTTTTTGCCACAATACAATTACATCAAAACAGAAAGAAGAAAAATGTCGCGAGATGGTAACATTTCTTTCAAACCACTATTACGTAATCGCAATGCTAAACTTTCGGCGATTAGTGAAGCACTGCTTATTTGATTACATCATCCGATCTTATGCGCACAGAAGTTTTTGATACAAGCAGTCCACTTACCGTGGAGTTGATCTTTTACTTCTAAACTTAGTAATCTGTGTATGCTTGTACATGTTCGTTCACCATAGTTGATTAATCCCATGTGCTATATATGTGCCTGTTTGTTTTAAATCAGTGACTGAGAAGATTAAACGAAATGTTAACATTTCGAGATATTTTTCTTCTTTCTGTTTTGAAGAAATGAATAAAGGGAACTCAATGCTTCAAATTTCTAAAACAATACAATTACGCTGACGTCTTCATAAGTGAATTTTCAACCATTGCTAACGAATTTTACCCCGTACTCACCCACCCATTCACCCCCACATTCCCTACAGTGTTCATCGTACATCAAGCGACTTTGGTAAACTGATTTTAAACGGTCATTCTAAACAGGCCGAGCCTTGTACCAAACAACGATGCTGTATTACCTAACTCAGAAATATGATGTGAATCTTCCAAGACAAATTTTTCATATCAAACGGACACGTTGATATGTTGGTTCGGTTAGGATTCATGAACCGTTCTCTCTGTGTCTTCTGGGTGGCATACACTGAACAGCCTTTTGTGCATAACGGGCTGTCATCAGGGTTTGTATGAATTTTTGATGAAAAATTGAAACTCAGTTAATATACTCACTTTCCGGTTCAACTGTACTCCCAATTGACAATCCACCTAAAATGCAAGTAGACCAGGTAGGAAAATGAGCATATATCACGAATGCGCCAAAATTCTATGCAAATGGAACAAAATACATATATGAAACAAAGTCACATGAACCAGTCGCGGAGAAATTCATTGAAATGATGTCGAATTTTCAGTTACTCAAAATGATCATAGGCAGAGGAACATGTATGCAACCAACAGGAAGTTGAGCCAGCTGTCGCTGTTTACCTATACAACATTAAAATCATTATTACCAAACTAATCGCAGTCATCTGCTCGAGTGTAGATTGAACGCTTCAAGAACCAAAATAGTTATGGAAAGAACCGGGTTTGACGTGTTTTTAAACTAATTTTGATCAATTCCATACCATCATTTCAAGTCTGGCACAGTGATTTTAAAAACTAAGTAAACTTAGAATAAATAGACAGTGGACCCCAATAATGATCGCGGAAGTGGATTTACCCCAAACAGTCGAAATAATTAGCTTACCAGCCTCAGAAGTTATATCCCACTTGGGGTAACATTAGAAATTATAAGTAATATATTCTTAACTGGAATAGAAATCATGTGACCACTAACCTTTTGTTGTTTGTATTGTAGTTCGTACTAGTGTTGTTGATTTTGTTGTAGTTGTTGGGGCATGGGTAGTGGTCATAGTTGTCTTTGCCATCGTAGTCGTAGTCCTTGTTGTCGTCGTCACTAACTTCGTCGTAGTAGTCGCCAACTTCGTCGTCCCAAGGTTGATTTTTGTTGTAGTGGCTGTAGGCATTGAAAAAAAGAATGTTCTCCCATTGACAGCAGATCATGCCAAAATTCAAATGTTATTTTACCCTGAAACATTTGCTACTTTCTTGTTTGACAGTAGGCCACTTCACAAGCACTGATGATGTCACCTCGGCTGGTGATGAAACGTTTGCAAACAAATTGTCAAGCTCGGCGAGCAGGCGAAATAGAGTAGGCTAAACTTAATCCAGTAAATTATGTAAATTACGGCATTTAACTGACGGAATTTGGTGTGCGAGAAGAGCACCCCTGTTGGAAGGCGTGATGAAATTAAAAATGCTTTGTCAATATATAATTTTCTTCTGCTTCCTATACGTTTTTTGCCTGTGGAGCATTTCAGCTTTTTGCAGGCTTGGCATTTAAATTGTATCCATTTTGGGGATTGTCTCGTTGTTCTAAACTATCAGGGTTTACGTGAAATGAAAAGAAAACCATACATTATACTACGAAAATGACTGAGTATAGGTAGAAATTACGGGTCGCAAGATTCTTAACTAATAATTGCATAACATTATTAACCCAGTTTCTTGGTATAAAATCACCCTCCTAGATGATCAAGAGGCTCTTGACTAATATTGAAAGATGCACTCAGGTGAACCGAAAAGTGTACTGCTTCTTTATCGTGCATAAATATGATAGAAATACGCCGCCACAAGCAATGCCGATGAGTATAAAAAATGTTTATAAAAAGCGTGGTGTGAAGGATATGAGCAATATTGGGAATAAATTATTTATCACTAAGTCGATTTTGTGTTAGGAAATAAATCACTGTCAATGAAAGAATGAAACAGTCAGTATGTGCACCATTTTGCATGCATTAAGTATCACAAGGCGTTTTTATGAAATGGCTCTCTGGGAGGGTTGGAGCAGCCGAATGAAATTTGTTGTTACTCCATTTCGAAAACACTACAATCAATTGTGGATTATTGATTTCATTCACGTTGACAACAGCTGACTCGCGTTCGTAACTGATGAACTCATTTGGAACACAAGTAAGAAGACAAACAATTGTTTTTGATTTATTCACAATCGAGGCTGTGCAGATGTTATAAGCGTTTGCTGTTAGTGGGGTCACGTTTCCACTCTGGTTCGAAAGGTCATTCGAAACGGGGAGATGGGAGGGTTGGGATGAGCCCCGTGTATCTGTGCCTGCGTGAGATCGATTATGTTCAAAGTGTTGGTGGTGGTGGTGATTCTGATGATTGATTTGGGGTCAGGGTAAGTGGATAGCTTGAACTATTCGTTTTTGTGCGCTTAGTTCTGGTGTGAAAAGGCGAACGTCCATCGTCTCAGCGGTGGCTAGTGTGGGTAAGCGCATT